TACAATCCCCTTGCCCACGCTCTGTGAGCTACCCGCACCCTTTGCGTCAGATAGACTTAAACAATTTAGCACTTGCTATCTCCGCACTATGACTAAGCCTACATTCTTTACTAATGATGAATAGATAGGGTACAGCAGCCTAAACGTTGGAACACAGATCCGATTTGATAGAGTTAGGGGCGACAACAGTAATATAACAAGCAATTACTTAGATAAGTTCCCTAACAGCCACTTTCCCTTTCAAGTAGAGCGTGTTATACGCTTCTAGTTAGTTTAAGAGTAGGATAACGGCAATATGTACCTGCTGCAGTCTAACTATTTCTATACGCAAGCTTCTCTCTATGCGCTTCAAGTAACAGTGAATAGAATTACTAGATGCCTCAAGATTGCGCGCAACAATCTTTTCCACTCACACTAGCCAGTGCGCGATGCGGTCATTATACTATTTAGGATAGTAGAGGCAGTGCATGTGCCAGGATACTGGACGTGGTTGTAGAAATGCAAATAGTCTAAGACAAATGCTTAATGTCTTGGTTAAATACTTTAGGGCACCTTGTCTGCTTGCCTTCTAGTGTAGCAAGCATACGCCTGCCTACCTGCTAAGCTTAGATAGTCGCCTGCCTTTTAACTAAATTTACTACGCACTTCCTTCGCCTAGTTAGCCTTCTATTCCTTAGAAGACTAAAGATAGCCTAACCGCCTGTCACGTAAGCAATCTATGATGCCTCCAACCAGGTCTTTAAATAACTGTCAAAATTCTCTACTGTTACTTGCGTATTATAAAACAAATAACAGTTTAATAGCGCCCTGCGTAGTAGGGTAAGCTTGCAGGAACAAATGCCTAAGGAGCTTGCACTTACAGAGCAAAAGATAGGAAGACGCTAGTTAGTATTAATCCTTGTTAAAAGACGTAGGTTACACCTAGAGATACTGCCTAAGCTATAACGCACGTTTGCTATGTAGGGAAGGTTAGCAAAGGTGCAGTACAGGATGTTTTTTATGCACGTACACAAGCTGCGCTAATGCTAATCTAAGACTATTCTATTCATTTTGTCAAATTGACGTCTTTATACTGCGCTGCTTTAGTTACTCCTTCTATAGATTAAGTAGATAACAAGGCCTCGTTTAGATCTGTGCTGAACGCTGTAGACAAAAGTAGGCTGCAACCGCCAATAGCTAGGTACATTGCGCTGGTGAAGATTAGGAGAAGCTTTATGCTAACTGTAGGCGCAAAACAAGGCCTTTAGTAGTAGGATAAAGACGTAGACAATCTAGTTATCTCGACTTGCTAGCTGTTAAAGCTTTATACTACATATTATACTAGAAGCAGACTTATACTAGCTATTATAGACAGATTGTGTAGCTGTGTCTTCTCTAGGCACAAGCTTGTGCAGCAGCATTGTCTATACCCTGTTCCTAGATATATAGCATAGCTTGTAGCTTATATTAGATATATTCAGTGTTATAAACACTTGTCGCCTAGAGTTAAGCAGTCAAGCAACAAAAAGAGGCACAGTGCGATAGAGTGAGACAGCAGTAAGCAGGCAGCACTGCAACACCGCAACACCCTAGCATAGTTACAATATCAACAATCCCTAAGAAAAGGAACAAGAAAGGCAACTAGTCCTATAATTTCCTTGTTGCGCCCTAGGCGCTGTTAAGGCTAACTTAGGCGGAAGCTGTTCAGAGCACTGCTATATAAGAGGAGACATCCCCTAATTTAAAAATAAATAAACAAAGTCCTTTCTACTTCTATAGTCTCTAAAGACCTAAGCCTTAATTCGCCCGCCTTGACTACTACTATACCCTGCTCCTAATAAAGATGCGTTTCTACGAAGCCGTTATCCTCCTTAGCCCTCTCCTTCTCCCCTTAGCTTCTGCTAAGTGCTACAATAACGAAATTCGAAACATAAACACCTAACTAGCACACAATAACATTCGAAATGTTGCTAAGTTCCTACAGGGCATGCTTGTAGGAAGACAGGAGCGTGGAACCTGCGTTATAGACACTGCAAACGGCAGCTAGTGGTACTTTAGCATTCGGAGCATAACAGACTTAGAGCAGCAAGTGATAGAGAATGAGATTGACGCATATCTTACCTGAGAGGTAAATAGTTGCAAGAAGCATAGAGGATTTCGCAGGGAGGGCAATATAGAATATAAGTACGTGTGCCCCAATGCAGATAGAGACAAAGGCATTATACTAATAGCTAGCTTTTAGCGCCGATCCTAACAATGGTGTTTGCTATAACGCTTATTATATTAGTCAGCACTTACGCAGACAAAGCGCCGCAGCGCAGGGTAGCAAGGTTGTCTTTGTCCCTATCTTGGGCCTCGTACTATCCCGAGCGGCGATGCAGGCTAAGGAGGTAGCAGCGTAGAGATGCATAGTGGACAAGCGCTGCTATTGTTCCAGCAGTAGCAATTTAGAAAGTTAATGCTACCTTTTAGATTGTTTTGTATTACTATCGCTGTTTAGAAACAACACGTGTCCTGCCAAACTATAGTATATTGCTCTAGATACTATAAGTGCACGTGCAATATGTTATTTAAATGTCTGCCGCCTGAAGTAGCTTACGCAGACCTAGGTTGTTTAAGTAGGATAAGACAAAGGAACAGCAGGAGGGATAAAGGTCTCTAGGCTTCTACGACAAGCTCTTAACCGGCCTTCCTCTAGTCTTCTACGGCGATCTCTCTCTTGCTGCAAGATAGAGAGAAGACAAAGAAACTCCCTAAGGATTGTATGCAAATAAAGTAGCAGGGCAATAGCGCAAGAGACTATATTTAGATATAAAGACGTTTCTGCCCTTTTGCTGCGCTACTATGCTTCTTGCGTTCCCTAAGCGCCGGCTACGCGTCCTATGCGTGGGGCCAATACGCTGCCTACGCCTCTCTCCTTAAACCCTGATGCTGTGCCTGCGATCTTTTCTTGTAACTTGCTAGATAACCTGGCGTAGAAGACCTAGTGTCGCGAGAAGGACCAAGGGGGCGCAGTGTCTGCAGAGACTGTCTCCCTAAGCGCAGCAACTACATAGACCTATAGTTGCGTTGTATTGCTAGCAACATTCTAAGAGAATCACTAATACTACTCTTGAGTTCTTCCTAAGGGCTGCATTTAACTCTAGTCTATCCTTCCTCCTCTGCAGCACAATGACCGCTCCCTTGCCGCACGTTACTACACCTGCAGGCAAAGCCTTAACAATGCCTGCTACAATGTTAAATTCTACTTCTACTCCACCAGCCTTCTGCTTGTTGCTCTATGTAACGCTTTCTTTAGTCTTTATAGCTGTTGCTTTCCTTCTATATATAGCACTTCTTATATCCTAATATAGAAGGCTAAGGAAACAGGATAGAACGCCTATTAGACACCGCCAGAATCCACTACCTGTGCCTAAGAAGGACCTGCACATATTAAAAGCATCTGTTAGCTCGTTTAGATGCGCAATAGCATATAACAGCGTTGCGCGTAGCAGCTAGGTTCATAGCTACTAGGTTGCTCACCCTAAACAAGCCAGTTAGAGCGCAACATGCAGCGCGCACCAAGCTCTATAAGGCATAGAGGCGCTAGAAGCTGTGCGCACGCCGTACCTCTATATACAAGAGCAGCCTATTGCTATAGACAAGTCGCCAGTAGATTATAGAAGCCCCTTCCAGTAGAAACGCGAGCCTACAAGACAACTTAGCCTAGACTTGGAAAGTGCTTGGCCTCGACCTTTATACGCCGCTTTAATAGAATAGGAGCAGGAACGTTTGCTTGCGTTACGGCTATGGAAGAGCCCTAGCGATGACTCGAGTAGTCTGTATTCACGGCCGAGTTCGTGGTGCAGTCTCCCTAACACAGAAGAACGTGGAGTAGAGGGCCTAGGGTCCAGTTTAGGAGCGGGACCAGGGCCAACGATCCGATCAGGTGCAGTTCCCTCGCGTAGATGCAGCATACCGCCCCCTGCTCACACGCAAGAAGGGCTCAGTTGCGAACAGGGCTTAGTTGCAGACTGGGCACTGCCAAGAGAGATGGAGTAGAAAGTTCGCAGTAACCTGCAGTATAGTACGGCTCTAGCCACGTTTCACCCTCACAGTTCCTGCTTTTAGTCGCACTTTTTCCACTTAACATAACTAAGCGCTAGTTGTGCCTTCTCCGTGTAGAAATCCGAGCGCTAGCTCTGCTACCTCCTTGCGATGCTGTAGGCACCAACCGTGCCTTATGCTGCGCTGGGAGGCTTATGATCCTAGCAACTGCAGTCTGCGCCCAAAGCTTGACTGATGTTCTACAATCATATAGAGGGGACTGACCTCCTGGTTTACAAGCAGGGCGCCGCTCTGCTGATCAACGGCTAGGAGTATTACGATCCCTTAGACCTCCTAAACTGCAGACTATAACTGTTACTGCTTGCACCGCTGAGATTCCGCTTAACTGCAGAGTACCTTCCCCTATATGTACACCTTTTGCGCAACAGGTACTGATCCTAACATAGAGAAGGAAGCTATTTCGCGATGCATTCAGGCACAACGATCCACACTGCCACAGCTGTGCGTTTCATCTCAGTCTAACCTGTGTTGATTTAGATTGCTAGTCGGTCTCCGTGATGCCGCCCATCAACTAATTTGCTTTCTAATAGTATAGTCCCTAGCAAAGATATTAGTATTCTATAGGACTGGGATAAGGGCCTGAACTTAGGCTTCCTCCTAATTCTGTTGGACAGCACCATCCTAAAGACCTGAATCTAGCACTACGTTCGCTCCTAAAGCGTTAACATCCTTATAAAACCAGTAAGGGGGGAGCTCCTAGACATCTACCTTGCGGTAAGGCAATTTAATAGGTGGTTAGCCCTAGAAGGCACAGCTAGAGGTAAGATCAAGGGAAGAAGACTTTAGATATCAATGTTAAGGCACAAGGGAGGACCTGCAGTGTGCAAGAGATAAGAGACGCAGTATGCAAGAGATAAGAGACGCAGTGTGCAAGAGATAAGAGACGCAGTATACTTCTATTCTAGGCATTAGTTACCTTATATCTCTTACAATTATACTACAACGCTCTATCTAAATACTATTATAGCTGCGAAATACTAACCTTAGAAACCCTACTGCATTTTTGCGTAAGCCTCTTGGTTCTCAACATCTATGCAGAAGTTCCTCGCGGCTCTGCAGCCTCAGATCGCTGTTCTGCAGGCTATCTTAATTCCCCTGCACTACTTAAACCCATTGCAACTCTTAAAGCAATTAATTGCTTACCCCCTTGTGCTCCATGCGAATTCCTACTCCTACCGCGTTAGTTACTGTGCTCAATAAGGAGCGTCTTTCTTCAAATGTCGCCTTACTAGTCTTCTAGCCCTGACCCTACTAGTACCTCTATTAGCTTTATTACTTACTATAGCTTTTTCTTCTTATAGCTGGATGGCTAGGCTTAGTATATGAGATATACTAGGTTATTATTAGTAAAGTACACGTCTTTGCCGCTCCAAGCCGCCTAGTGCGCGTTGCTGCAGTGCTTCTGCATCCTGCTCTTGTTTGCGGTGCAGAAGCCGCAGTCGCTGGTGATCCTGCATCGATAGACGTCCAACGGCTCGCCCAGCTGCTCGATCGGCGGCCCCAGCGGCGCGGGCAGCTCAACATCTCGCGGCGCGGCGATCCGCCATTGCCGGCAGTGCTCTACGATGCATTCCCTCTCCTTGCTTGCCACGCCGTGCTGGTCGCGCAGGTGCACATCGACGTTCTGTATGCCGGTAGCGTGCTCCCTGCAGACTAGCACCTGATAGCGCTGGAGGTAGCAGAAGCGCTCTTGCATGTTGCTAACTGTTATCTTGCTCGCACGCGGTCGCTTGCGGTGCTGCGCTGCGGTTGGCGTTGCAGGTGGCTGCGCGTTCTAGCAGAGCTCCATGCTTGGCGAGTTAACCCTAAGAAACTCTAAGATGACCCCAAGTGCAGCAACGCAAGCCGAGAAATGCAGAAACAAAGGCTGGGGCGCGATAGAGCAGATAATTCTCGGCAGGTTTTGTATGGAACACGTCGCGCAAGCAGCGCAGCTTGGGGGTATGATCGGGGGTCAAAGGCGCGATGTTCGCCCCCTACGGCGGGCCCGATTTGGACGCGCAACCCTAGCGCTAGACCTAGTCTGGCGATGATCGGGCCCGATCGCGCGCGTCATATCGGTTAGGGCCTCTCTCGTTACCTTATATTGGATAGGGCCTCTCTCGTCACCTCATATTGGATAGGGCCTCTCTCGTCACCTTATATTAGATAGGGCCTCTCTCGTCACCTTATATTGGATAGGGCCTATATAATTTGAAAAGATGTATAAATCATATAGGGTCCGATGCAGGGGTCCTGCTAGCGTTAAATTAAATTATATAGGGTCTAAATGGAAAAGGATTAGTAGTGAGGTCTTCGCCCTGTTCTTCTGTCTTAAACAGGCCCCACTACCCTCCCCTTTTCTTCTCTTCCTTAGTTACTTAGCACTCTCTAATTTATATTCTTCTTTATTTACTTTATCTTTTTTAACCTATTTAAATTAATAACTATCTATTCTCTTCTTTTAATCTATAATATTCTATTATACTTTACTTATTTACTATTTCTTGCTATACTCTACTATACTCTACTATACTCTGCTATACTCTACTATACTCTTCTTTTTTTCTCTTTGCTACTCTATATAACTTTATTTGCTTTCTACTTTACCTTATCCTATCCTATACTACCTTACTCTACTACCTTTCTCTTCTCTTCTCTAGCTCTCTACTACTACTCTTTTTTTCTATTAACTTTATCTATTCTAACTTATTCTAATAAACTACTTTACTATACTTTTTTAGTCTATATACTTTACTAACTTATTTACTACTCTATATACTCTTTTTCTCTCTCTCTAGTTCTTCTAATTTTTTTTTAATATTTACTATCTACTATTTTTTATTATACCTACTAACTATTTTTTTTATACTTAATAACTATTTTTTTTTCTATACTACTACCTATTCTTTTTTTTCTACTACCTACTTTTTTCTTTATACCTATAACCTATTTTTTTCTTAATACCTACTACTTACTCTTCTCTTCTCTTAACTTATAATATTTTATTATAGCTTAGCCTTCTACTATACCCTACTATATCTTACTATACTCTACTATACCTTACTATACCCTACTATACCTTACTATACTCTACTATACCTTACTATACTCTGCTATACCTTACTACACCTTACTATACCTTACTATACCCTACTATACTCTTCTCTCTTTCTCTTTACTACTCTACTCCTTATAACACCTAAATAGCCTACTACCTATCTCTCTACTTCTCCTACTTACCCTAACTACTCTGCTACTTATAATACCTAATAGGCCTACTACCTACCTCTCTACTTCTCCTACTTACTTTAACTACTCTGCTGCTTATAATACTTAATAGGCCTACTACCTACCCCCCCCTTCTTCTCCTACTTACCCTAACTGCTCTACTGCTTATAACACCTAATAGGCCTACTGCCTACCCTCCCTTCTTCTGCCCTAGACTACCTACTGCCTACCCCCCCCTTCTTCTACCCTAGATAGGCCTACTACCTTTCTACTCTGTTACTCTCTTGCTAATACCTTGTTATAGCTTTGCTATATATATATACCTATTACTTTATTAATTTCTCTACTTACTACTCTACTCTACTACCCTCCTCTTTCTCTCTCTCTTGTTTCTACCCCTCTAATACTAGCCTAATTACTATCGCTATTATATTGCTAAATATCTATCCCTAAATCTCTAACCTATATAGCTTTTCTAGCTACCTAGTATATACCTTGTCTCCTATCTCTATAAATCCTAGCTTGCCTATTATTTATATCCTACCCCTTATTAACTACGCTATAAACGCTAGCAGCACTACTATGTTTAGCTACTAGTACCGCTTGTCTATCCTTTCTCCTATTATATAGTACTTCTAGCTTACCTAGCACTATTAGTAGTTGTTCCTTACTATATAGTTCTGCATCTTTACCTAAAACTAATCTACCTATATCCCTATTCCTCTACTCTATACTATATACTATATTACCTTATAATCCCTCTACTACTTTTCTCTTACTATCTTAAACTACTACCCTACTACCTAGTATATTGCGCACCCCTCTTATAGCTCTCTAAATGCCTTCTCTACTACTACCTACTCCTATAACTACTTTTCCTGCTCTTCTATCTATACCTCTTCTCCATCTCTATATTAATTATAGCCTACTACCTCTATATCCCTATACTACACCCTCTTACTATCTAAGTATAAGCTTATAGCTTCCTATTAGTATTTACTCCTAATAAGAAACTATCCTATTACCTGCACATTAATATTGCTACTTTCTCTCTCTATCTACTTCTCTACCTCCCTCTACCCTACTACTACTACTATATCGACTTACTCTCCTTCTTATCTCCTATGCCTACTTGCCTACGCAAAATCTATTATGCTCTATAGTATCCCTATATGCAAGATATATATAATCCTTAGGAAGTCTACCCCTATCCCTAACGCTAATATAGCTATAATTAGCCTACCCTGCTCTACCTATCCCTATAGCTACTCTGCCTAATTATTTATACTAGCATAATAATGCGCACAGCCTAGCTACCTAGCAATCTATTCGCACTGCCCCTTGCTTAGATAGTATACTACCCCCTTCTATTTTGTCTACTATAGCCTATCTTTCTACTGCTTATATATTGCTAGTGCTGTGTCTTCTAGCTTACTTTATAAACACTATAATATAAAGTACTGCACCTTTAGCTATACTATACTTACTTAGATATATATTATGTTCTAGACTAGTATACTTGCCTCTAGCTACCCCTCCTATACTAGTAGCAGCGTTACTATTAGTATAACTAATAACCCTCTAAGTAGCTATAAGTTCTTAACCTTAAGTAGATTCTCTTACTAGTGCTATAATATATATAGTAGATAACACTTATCTATTACTACCTACTATAGTAGTCCCTTATTCTTTAGCAGTCTAGTATACCCTAAGAAGTTACTATTGCTTATAATATTGCCTACTATGTCTATGCTAATAACTACTACTAATATAGGGTTACTATTACTGCGCTTCTACTCTATATAGTTAATACTATAGCTATAAATCCGCTTAACTAAGTCCTTAATTAACGCCTAGTATAGTATAACAACTATAGTTATACTATCTTTAATGCAAGCTAGCACTATAAATAGCAAGCTCTTGCCCCCCTCCTGTTAGAAGCACTATAATAAGTAGCGTCTAATTATCTAGCACTATATATAGTGCCTATTCCTACTTAGTAGATTAGAAGCTAATGTCCTACTTGCCTAGCACTTGCTATAGTGCCTTATATACTATCTTAGCCTATAGGTCCTCTACTAGGACAGTCTTTTCTTTTAGTAACCCTACTAGCCCTAATATGCTCTCTTGCATCTGTCTCTTTCTTCTACTGCTTAGCTCTACTAGCTTATCTGCTAGCCTATCTATGCCTAAGAAGTAGTGCTATGCTATGCTAAGTGCCTAGAATATATCTATTAACTATATGCTAAGATGCTTAATAATATTAATTAGCATGCTATAGTTACTAACTCCTATTACTATTGTCTATAAGTTCTATAGCTTAATAATATCCTCTTAATCTTTATCTATCTTAGCTTTGTCTACTTCCCTAACCTTGTCTTAATAACCCTAACTAAATAACTCCCCTACTTTAACCCTACTAATACCTATAGCTATGTAATAGTAGCCCTATATATATAATCGAACGCCTAGCTGCTTACCTATCTTGTGCTTAAGCACCTTTATTAGTTTATCTATGCCTTATGCCCCTTGCCTATTACTCTAGATATAGTTACTTAAGCTGCTACCTAGCACCTAAACTATAAGATACTCTTAAAATAGCTGCAAGTAGCTTAAGTATAGAGCTATAATCTATCCTAACTATAGTAGTAGAAAGTATAGTATAACCTTTAGCTTATTCTACTAAGACTATAACTTGTAATAATAGACGACTGTTATAATAGTACTATCTATAATAAAGATGTTGCGGTTTTATAGTAGCCTATTATAGTGTTATATTATTATAATCTCTAACTCTTAACCTAGCTATCTATACTTAACGTATATATAGCCTATTAGTAGCTCTAAGAACTAGTCTACCTATAGTAGATACTACTATACCTTCTTGCCTCTCTACTAACTATCTACTATCTATAGCTATATGCTGCCCTTCTTGCTTTAGGCTCTTATAAGTATCTAAGCTAGTCTACTAGATAGACTGTTTGCTAGATTACTAATAAAAGATATGCCCTATATTATAAACGTAATATTATCTAAAATCTATGTAAGATTAATACTAAAGTAGTTAGTAGCTATGTTAACCTAATATAGCTACTAGAACTACTTTACTACCTTGGCTTGCATACTCTAAGCTATCTAATAGAAGCGCTTAATAATAATAGGCTGCCTGTTAAGATAGAAGATCTTCTTGTCTAGTAACTAGTATGCGTTACTAGTATTGCCTTTGTTTAGTGTAGTATATTTACTATATACTAGAAGACTAATTATCTTACTTATTAGACTATATAAGCTATTAGCTAGATACTTCTTATATATTTCTAAGAACCTATCCTATGCTTCTTCTATTTACTTATTATGCTCTGCTATAGAAAGAAGCTTCTTAACTCTAACTACCTAGATATAATATACTATCCCTACTAGCATATATAAGTAGTTCTTTATAGTGCGTAAGTGTTTTATCTTAGTGTCTATGCCTAGTATAGTAAG